GTTGCAGTGAGCCAAGATGGTGACATTGCACTCCAACCTGGGGAACAAAAGCGAAACTCCGTTTCAAAAAAGAAGGAAAGGAAAGGAGAGGAGAGGAGAGGGGAGGGGAGGGGAGGGGAGGGGAAAGAAAGGGAAAGAAAGAAGAAAAGAAAGGAGGGAGGGAGGGAAGGAGGGAGGAAGGAAGGAAACTTGTAGACTACAACTTCCACATACTCCCAAGTTCCAGCCTGCCTTTCCAGGTTGTCCCTCAGTCACCTCGGAACGCACTTGAAGGGCCTCAGAGGAACTCAGGGGCGTGAAAGGAGCATATGGAAGTGACAATTTAGATGACCAAAGAGGGCCAAGCATGGTGGCTTGTAATCCCAGCACTTTGGGAGGCCTGTGATCCCAGTACTTTGGGAGGCCAACACAGGAGGATCACTTGAGCCCAGAAGTCCAAGACCAGCCTGAACAACATAGTAAGACCCATCTCATAAATTAGACAGACAGATGATAGATAGGTAGGTAGGTAGGTAGGTAGGTAGGTAGGTAGGTAGGTAGGTAGACAGATAACCAAAAGGATCTGTGGACCTGTAGATAGGGGAAAAATTGCTGCAGGATCGTGGACTTGGCACATACTGTTCCTTCTACCAGGGAATTTTCCTCAGATCCTCCTACAATTGTCTTGCCATTTGGATCTCAGTTTAAATGTCCAAGATCACACCACTGCACTCCAGCCTGGGTGACACAGTAAAACTTTGTCTCAAAAAAAAAAAAAAAAAAAGGAAAGAAAGAAAAAGAAAAATACTGAGGTATATCCCTATGGTTTAAATTAACAGACTTGGGGCCAGAAGTGGTGGCTCATGCCTGTAATCCTCACACTTTGGGATCCTAACACAAGGCGGGAAGATCACTAGAGCCCAGGAGTTCGCGACCAGCCTGGACAACATGGTGAAACCCTGTCTCTCCAAAAATAAAAAATAAAAAATCCCAAAAATGTGTTAATTATTTTTAAAAATTTTAGCAGGCTCATAGAACCATGATTACCCACAAAGTATTCCTCATACTGGACAAACTTAAAATGCAAGATTGCTCTTTCAGCCATTTCTTTCTTTTTATTTACAGTTTGTGTTCAATGCAAATCAATTCCATAACATAAGAATTTACTATGAATCAAAGCATAAATACACAAACACAATATACAATCCAAAATAGATGTACAGCATTCTGGAATAAAGCAGAAGAGTGTTCATTCACACACACAGTAGCTTCAGATGTGTTCAATCTGTTTGTTTCCATGTAGTTTTCTAAAGATGGAAAAAAATGACTTTGGTCATCAAGACTACTGTGGCCATATTAGATTCCTGGAACATCTAAGCATCAGTGTGTGACCATGCGAACAAAAGACTTCGGGGAGTGTCTATTTTTAAAAAGGTTTCTGTGTGTTGAGGCAGTTGTAAAATGTTTACTGCAGAATCAAGCCCACTTTTAGGCTTAGGACCAGGTTCTAACTATCTAAAAATATTGACTGATAACAAAAAGTGTTCCAAATGTGGCTATTCTGATCCATAACTGTTTAAAGAAAAAAAAGTATATACAGAAAGAGTATAAAAGTTTTTGTGAATTTAATGCAAATTAGCTTCCAGTCTTCACTTCCCAAATACTTGATTTACGGTTTTGATTCCTTTACATTTTTGCCTTTTTAATTTCAAGATCTGCAATTTTGCCTTCAAAACAGATCATTTTTCTAAATTGTAAAAAGTATTCAACATATGCAGATATAAAAAGCGTTTTGACAGCTGGGCGCGGGGGCTCAAACCTATAATCCCAGCACTTTGGGAGACCAAGCCAGGCAGATCACCTGAGGTCAGGAGTTCGAAACCAGCCTGGGCAACATGGTGAAACCCTTTCTCTAGTAAAATTACAAAAATTAGCCGGGCATGGTGGTAGGTGCCTGTAATCCCAGCTACTTGGGAGGCTGAGGCAGGAGAATCGCTTGAGCCCAGGAGGCAGAGGGTGCACTGAGCTGAGATCGCGCCACTGCACTCCAGCCTGGGTGACAAAGTGAGACTCCATCTAAAAAATAATAATAATAAAAAGTATTTTGAAATTAATTGCGGTCAATGGAATTCTACTCTTTGGAATCTGTTTAGCTAAATGAATGTAGTGTTCTTGTTGAATGGAAATAGGTGATAGGAAATGCCTACCATTTGACTCTTTATGGATAATCAAGAGTTGCTCAGAATGCTTGGACCTGGGGGTAGATTCTCATTCATCATTGCCCTGGCACATGTCAATTACTACGTAAAAAGTCAAATACAATGTCAAATCCAAAGCCTCAAGAGGAAAGTGAGTTCAGTTCCCAAGAGAACAGCGATAGCTCAACTTCATCTAGAGTATATCAGCATTAAATTAGTGCTGTCGAAACAATACATTGAGGAATTACAGTAACACCTGGAAGTTCCTTCTAATGTACATATAAATAGAATCATGGAAGTTTTTTATATTACCTGTTTTATGACCTTATAGAATTAATGAACCAAATGAAAACTGAATCTCCATTCCACAATCACATCCTTTATTACTATTCTTATTTTTCAAGGTAGAATTAAGTGTCCATATTTCTTAAACCACATTCAAGGAAATCATGTCTTAAGCTATTTTGGATGTTGCCTCTCCTTCATCTTGTACGTGAAACACCAGCAAATTTAACATTGGCATCTATCATCTAGTCAAACCTCTCACATGTTCTTCAAGCAGATCAAATTTGGGATTCTCAACATTTTCTGCGTCAATAAAAGGTGTGGAATTAGTAGATTCAATGAAGACCTGTTTTTCCTTGCCAAGACGCCATTTGGATTGGGTTTAGAAGATGGGGAAGTTTAGAAGATGTTTCTTGGCCTGAGTCTCTTAACAGTAGAGATGTAGAAGAGAGAGTGAGACCACGAAGAGACTGGCTGTTGACTGCAGGGCACCACCAACCGCCTTGGTGGTGGTATTAGCTGCATTTGGGGTAGTCGTATTCGGGGAGGAGGTACTTGAAAGTGGTGTAAAAGTCGTTGCAGTGGAATACATCTAAAATACATAAAAAGTTACATGGATAAATTTCCACATCACAGCTACCTCCGCATACTCTAATATAAAATTAAAGTAGGTGATATATTCTTAGATTGCTCTCTTACCATTGTTCTCTTACCCAACATCATTAAATTCTAAATTCTTGCTCAGCCCACCAAGGTCATTCTCTTTAGTTTCAAAACAAACTACCTAGAGATGCTTCAAAAATGCCAAGTGGCAACAAGAACAAAAAAGTTATTCAATAACTATAACTCCTGTTTTTATTTCTTTGCAAAGGAAAAAAGGACCAAGTTAACTAATTCGGTTTCCGAGATTATATTGACTTAATGGCATTGCAATAAGGTCTATTTTCGCAGAAAGGGAGAGATTTTAAAGTTGCACAAAAAAATGGGGATTTTTAAATATTGTAACTGAGACTTACGGAACTAGAATTAATTGGGTCAGTGTCTATCCTGGATTTGCTAGGTAACTTTCACATACTCATTTAATACAGCCTTGGAAATTTAGCCGTTTCCTTAAGGGGGGAACTGCAGTCTTATCTTCTCCTTTGAAATTTGAAATAATTCTTCTAAAAAATGGCCACAATATTTGTGTTAAATTGAAAGAGAAAATGAGTCTTTCCTTTAAGGCAGAATGACTTCAAGAAAACACCATGAGGTCGGAACGATTTCACAAAAGACAAGGAGAGGGTATGGTGTTAAGTTTCACCAGCAGCAGCCTCACTGGTCACTAAGCTCAGTGCTGTGGCCAAGAACCAAGGTTCTCCCAGTGTCCCAGCGTCTGAGTGGCATCATTCACCACTGATTTTTCAAGCCACGAAATGCACAGTCCAGTAGGGCACGTGATAATCTCTCTTTTGTCATGGAACAAAGGCAGATCGGAGTTTTCAGCCCTCACTGCAAGGGAGGGTTTACAAGGGCTTCTGATTACAGGCGGGAGGGAGGACGTGGCACCAGGCAAGAGTCTGGGCCCCATGTACATTTGGCTGCCTATTAATCCAAAGATAAAGCCCTCCTACATCAGCACCAGCTCCTTTTGTTGTAAAATCCATAAGGTCTTTAAACAAATATTGACTAAAGAAATGTACAAATTCTATCCAAAATAGATTAGTGACAACAACAAAAAAATCTGTATCAAGTCCAATTTATTTATTGGGCACCTACTGTGTGCAAGATTTAGTGTGTCCCATCAGGAAATGGCACTCCCAATAAAGAAAAGCATTAATATGGTAATTTACTTAAAACAGGGTGCCTGTTTTGGACACCTTGTTTGGGATCCCTGAAAGTAACCTGTTCTTTATTCATACAATTAGTTTTAGTGCAGCAGGTGATATTTTCTTTTTAAAACCCGGTGTATCAATCTGAGGATCTAAAGATCCACCAACAAAAATGTATGTTTATTAAACTGACACTAAACAAAATTTTCTCTCCCAAGTTAGATTTATTCGCATTATTAAAACTTCTCACTTACAATGTTGGAGGAAAAAATCTGGTCGGAGAGACGATGGGGCGGGGAGTAGAGGGGGCCGGTTTCTCGCGGCCGCGCCCCTCCCCCATCAAAGAACTGAGGAGGGCTCGGGAGCGCAGCGGACTGGGAGGAAGACAATAGGGTACGGTTACCCGGCCCGCGGTGGGGAAGAGCGCTCCACATTTTCAGGCTGCACTCCCAGGTGAGCCCAGACGTTCGATGTCTGGGGACGGAGGGCCCAGCGCGCCCAACTTTTGGGGGAGAAGCCCCAGAGACAGTCCTCTATTAACCCCAACCGAAGGCGCTGGAGAGCCGTCACTCCCATCCCCCAAACCCGAACTCCCCCGGACAAACGTACCTTCTTATCCCCTGCCCCCGCTAGGGTCTCCCAGGCCCAGCCCCCGGTCTCCCTCGCCGGCACGGTGCATCCATCCACCCACGAGGCAGCGCCGCGCGGTCCCCGGTACCCGCACCCCAGGCGAGATTCCCCGGATAGAGGGTCTAGGGAGAAGGCGCTGGTAGCGGCGACCCGGACAAAGCCTGGCGGGGACTCGGGACAGAATCGTCCCACCATGCCGCCTCCCCAGAACTAGCCAATCTGGGCTAAAATAACATGGGGATCCTAAGATGACAAGCAATGGACGTGAAAGATTGCCTCGCAGAGAGCGCAGCGTCAGGAGAGGGTCCCCGCCTCGGCTCCAGCGCCGAACCTCCCGGGACTGGGATTTAAAAAGAGCCGGATAGCCGTAGCTTCTGCGGGATCCCCAGTCCAACTCCGAGGGTGGAGGATGGGCGTAAGCCGCCCTCCCCGAAAGGGACGTCGCCTCTCTTTGTGTAGAGCTCGGGGAGCGCGAAGACACTCGTAGGGGGAAGCGGGTCCTCAGGGGACCCAGGGACGACGTCGCCCGGGAGCCTGAGCTCTCCAGGCGCTAATCCGTGCTGGCACCTCGGGCCTCTGGGTGAAAGTGGCAAGCAGGCACCTGGCCGCCTGGGAAGGGACAGCGTGGAACCTGGGGTGGGGCAGAGTCCTCTCAGCCCGCGCGCGGAGCTGCATTGTTCCCAGGGCCGTGGGAGGGGAGGGGGCAGCACGCAAGGGAGTGGAAAAATGGGGTCCACATGGCCCTCTCCCCTGGTCAGCTAAGCAAGATTCTCTCCCAGTCCCTGTCCGTGGCCCGAAATAGGGGCGCAGGACGGCCCCCCGGGACCTGGTCCATCTCCCCCGCCCCCACTCCGGGCACGGCCCTGAGCTCATTCGATTAATAATACTGGATAATCGTCACCCAACGAACATTTCCATATAAAATGGCTTTTCTCAGACAGCGT